AGCAAGCCCCAAGATTTTGCCTGTTTCTGGATCCCAATACTGGGATTCTAAGTGTGTGCTCCATATCTAGCTACCCAAGCATGTATTTCATAATAAATCAAATTTTTATTTTGATGTTTATTCTACTGAATTGTCTCTCACAGGGCTATGGCATTTCCTCCATGCCATCTACTTCCAATTCCAAATCCATAAAGGAGAATAGTAATGCTGCCATCATCAAAAGGTTTAACCACCACAGTGCCATGGTCCTGGCTGCTGGTCTCAAGAAACAGTTAAGTATACATGTCAAGACTGTTACTGACCTTTTCAGGGTAACCAGGTGAAGTGGTGGTGTTCAGTTCAGCAATTTTAACCTGAGCTTGTTTTTCCATTTGTTTTTAAGACAAGCACAAAATGGACAGAATGGTGAGCCCAGCTGCATAGATGGAAATTCTGGAGATGCAGACTGCTTTCAGCCAGCAGTCAAAAGGGTATGGGCATCAAGTTAGGCCATTTGGGGATTGCATTTCTCTGGGTATAAGGTATCTAAATTATTTATATTGCTTATTTCCTAAGGCTGGTTTTGATTTTAACCAAGATGTCAGAGGCATTACCATCACTTATAGAACATTATGAAACTCAACATAGGCTTAACCAGCTAACTCTTCATTGACTCAGTTCTGATCAGTTTTTATTCGGTTCTTCCTTCCCTATGGATACACAATAAATTTTGCATGTGTGTGATCCTGTTTTCTAGGGAAAAGTTTTCAACAAAGACAGTAGATAGAAAGTTTCATGTGTTTAGTTTGCAAAGAAAGTTAATTGGCCCTCCCATTAAACTGGTATCTCTTGGTTTAAAACATCTCACTTAAAAGTCATTTGAGAGAAAGAGGAATTGTGGATCGAAGTAGCTATTTGCTCAGTATTTGATTTCTTTGAGTCCCTTCTCCCCGTTTACAGAAAGGATACTTACTTACTTAGAGGCCAGTCAAGCAGTACATACGAAAAGTTTAAAGGTTTATACTCTTCTGCGCATTTGTGGGAAAGATGGGAGCAGTGTGAAAAGATTTAGATAGAAATACTTACCACAGGACTGCAGTCACAAAAGCAAAATGTTGATGTCTATGGTATAACCATATAGATAAGGTCTATTCAGCCATTATAACTTGGTTAGAATTGATGGAGCTGGGGCATAGCTTAGTGGTAAAGAGCTTACTGAAGATTCACAGGGTGCTGGGTTCGATTCTCAAGCACCACAAAAATAAAAAATAAAATTTTAAAAAGGAATAAGGACATACAGATGAGCCCCATCTTACAATTACTGATTCTTGTGATAGTATTATTGGGTTTTGAACACATTTTTCAACTTAATATTTTCAGCTTGTAATAGTAGGATATGTATGGCCCAATTTAAAATAGAGAATGTCTATATTGCTTCAAAAAGAGCTCATAGCACCAGATATGGTAGTGTACAGCCATAATCCCAGACTTTAGTAGAGTAAGAGGAGGATCAAAAGTCTATATATTGCCAGGTGGTGGTGGCACACGCCTTTATCCTAGCACTCGGGAGGCAGAGCCAGGTGGATCTCTTGAGTTCGAGGCCAGCCTGGTCTACAGAGCAAGATTCAGGACAGGCACCAAAACAACACAGAGAAAACTCTGTCTGGGGGGTGGGGTGGGGGGAGGTCTATATATCGTATACTGCATATCACTCATACACATTTTTTAAAAAGCCAGGTATGGTAGTGTACAGCTTTGATACCAGCACTCAGGAGGCAAAGGCAGGTGGATCTTGTTAAGTTTGAGACCAGCCTGGTCTACAGAGCAAGTTCCAGGACAGCCAGGGCTACACAGAAAAACCCTGTCTCAGTGGGGTGCAGGGGACCTGGTATGACCAGAATGTAGGAAACAGTACTTTTATTCATTATTGGTGAGAACACTGGCTTAGCCATTTGTAGCTCATGGTGGGAAGACTTCCTTTTTCATGCTCTGTGAAGTTTCAGTTTTTAGTCAGTTTCTTATAAAATTAAAAATACTATGTCAATAATTGTAGGCAAAGTTACAGGAGTCCATTGAATATGAAGACTTGGGAAACAACAATTCCGTGAAAACGATTGCACTGAATCTCAAGAAGTCAGACAGGTCAGTTTGGCTGATGGAAGTGAAACACTTATCAGTAGTCAGCACAGAATGTACTCTGCAAGTCTACAGTCAGTTTGCTGCCATAAAAGTACAATATACAATTTCCTTTAAAAGTTTGTTTTGTGACCTGGGTATGATCAAATGTACCGTGACCTAAGCAGGAGGGAGGAAAGAGTAGGAGGGGCAGTGGTTCAAGGATATCCTCAGCTGTGCAGCAAATTAAGGCCAGTCTGGGTTATTTTAACTTTATACATACCTGGAGTGTATCCTAAATGCCAAGAAAACTAATTTTTATTATACTTATTAGTGTATGTGCGCATGTCACAGAAGTGTGGAGGTCAGTGTGTATGCATGTCACAGCAAATATGTGGAAGTCACGACAGCTTGGGATCTGTTCCCTGTTTCCACTTGGGACCCAGGTTGTCAGGCTTAGTTAGCAGCAGGTGCCTTTAGCCTGTGAGCCACTTCACAGGCTCAAATTTTGGATCTTCATTCTGTTTTTTTTTCTTACTGCCTTTTTATAGAAATTAAATTATAAGGACTGGAGAGATAGCTCAGTAGTGAAGAACTCATGTTCTTACAGAGGACCCCAGTTCAGTTTCCAACACCCACATCAGGTGGCTCACAACCACCTATGTAACTGTCTCCAGGGGGTCCAACACTTCTGGCCCTATAGGCACCTGCACTCATATGCACATACCTGCCCACCACCACATAGCATACATATAACTAAAAATAACAAAAATAAAATTTTTAAAAAGGAAATTAATAACTTTTTAAATTTCTTTAAGCGTTGTGTGATTTTTTTGCCAAGAGAGAATGTTTTGTTGATGCTAAAATATTTGAAAGACTGATAACTGAACACCTTTATGATATATAATTGGTTATTTCTCCTGTGCTAACCTCCAGGTATTATCATGGTCCTACTCCAATTCAGTCACTACAGTATGCAACAAGTCAGGACATTATTAATTCTTTTCAAAGTATTAGACAAGAAATGGAAGCTTATACACCCAAGTTAACTCAGGTAGGTGATTTTTACTGTTTAAAGGCCAGAATTCTTATAGCTGCTGCCTCAGGTTATAAGCACAGCCAGAGTGAATTGCATAACAGAACATTTGTTCATTTTTTCTGCTGGGTTGCCTGAGGCCATATTCATTATAATGTACTAGGAGCCGCATATAAGTAATTGTGTGTGTCTATTTAAAACTAGGACCCGTAGATTAAGAAACTGAGAGCCAAACAGTTGCCTAACTCTAAGCATACAGGACAACCTGCGGGAGTCAGTTCTCTCCACCATGTGAGACCTGGGGATTAAACTCAAATTGTCAAGCTTGCAAGCAAGCACCTTTACAAACTGAGCTATCTTGATGTCACCTATTTAATATTGTCAGACAGTATTTGACTATAGGAAACTAAAACCTCAAAAATCAAAATTATGGAGAGAGGCCAGAGAGATAGTTAAGTAGTTCAGAGACTTGTAATGTATGCTGCTCTTGTTTCAAAGAACTCACATTTGGCTCCCAGAACCCACAGTGGGTAACTCACAGCCACTTATATCCAAGAGATCTGCTACCCTTTTCTGGATGCCAACAGCACACGCACACATGCACATTCACTCACACAGACACATAAAGTAGTAGTGAAAACAATTTTTTCAAAGGTTCTGTTAAGGGATCTGCTGTATTCCTGGCAGATAGATTTTCTACACATGCCATTGCTAGTGTCAAAAAAAGTTTTTCATTCTAGTTGCTATGCATAACATATTTGCATAGGAATAAAACCTGCTAGTAAAACCGGTGGGAGGGCTGGAGAAATGGCGGTTAAGAGTGCTAGCTTTTCTTCCAGAGGTCCTGAGTTCAGTTCCCAGCAACCACATGATGGCTCACAACCATCTGTAATGGGATCCGGTGCCCTCTTCTGTACTTCTGTAATACAGGCATATATGCAAACGGAGTACTTGTACATAAAAATAAACAAATACATATTAAAAAAAAAAAAAAGACAGATGCTGGGCCAGGCAGTGGTGGCACATGCCTTTAGTCACAGCACTTGGAAGGCAGAGACAGACAGATTTCTGTGAGTTCGAGGTCACCCTGGTCCAGAACAGGCACCAAAGCTACAGAGAAACCCTATCTCAAAAAAAAAAAAAAAGACAGATGCCAAAAGGGAGCTAAATCAGTTCCTGATTCGTTTCTTTCAGGTTCTCTCGAGCAGTGCTGCTAGTAGCACCATCACAGCCCTGTCACCTGGAGGAGCACTTATGCAGGGAGGGACACAGCAGTCCGTAAACCGTACGTGCTGGGCCCGCTTCCCCCTTTCTTTTCTTTGCTTACTTACTACTAAGGAAGTGCAAGGTTGTGCTGGCTTGTCTTGTTTTTGTTTTGTTTTTATTACTACTAAGGTTCTTTATTGAGGGTGGGGAGGTTGTCTGAGTGCCATGGCCCATGTGGAGGTCAGAGAACTTACAAGAGTCAGTTCTCTCCACCATGTAAGTCCTGAGCTCAGGTCACCAGGCTTGGCAGTAAGTGTTTTTATCCACTGAGCCACCTCACCAGCACTGTATTGGCTTTTCTCTAAGAGTTGGGATATTTTGCTGAGAGTAAGTGGGTGTGTGGGAGTGGGTTTGGGGGATGATAACTCAGACCTGCGTGCTGTGCGTGCACTACACTGCTGAGCTATATGCTCAGCACCTAGCGTGGTCATTTTTAGGACTGTGGAAGTAGCTGTTGCCCTAGGGCCCTCTTCCTTTTGCAGAGATGGTGCCAAACGATATTCAGTCTGAATTGAAACACTTGTACGTGGCTGTTGGAGAACTTCTGCGGCATTTCTGGTCCTGCTTTCCTGTTAATACACCATTCCTAGAAGAAAAGGTTAGAACTGATTGTAAATACAGCCAGCTACTGTGGTAATGACTGAGAGGTAAACATGCATCACCGTGTGCCAAATTAGTGTAACCGTTAGATTCAATACCCATTTCATAGATTAGGAAACTAAGCCATATCAGTTACATAGACTCAGCACAGGTCACTGTTTATTTGGTACATTTGTTATTGATCAAAATTAAAAATAAAGACTGACAGCAAACAGCACTGGGTTTTGTTTTTATTTTGTTTGTTTTTTTTTTTCTTCTTCTTTTTGTACTACTAGGGTTAACCCCAGAGACTCATACACAAGTGCTTTACCACTAAGCTGCATTCCAAGCTCCAGCATGAAATGTTTAAAACAAAAACCTTTGTTGCCGGCCGGGCGGTGGTGGCGCACGCCTTTAATCCCAGCACTCGGGAGGCAGAGCCAGGTGGATCTCTGTGAGTTCGAGGCCAGCCTGGGCTACCAAGCGAGTCCCGGGAAAGGCGCAAAGCTACACAGAGAAACCCTGTCTCGAAAAACGAAAAACCTTTGTTGCCTATTAAAAGGCAATTAACAAAAAATATTTGTTGCATTGTAGTAATATTAACTGTCCTATATAAACTGCTCTTTGAGGAAATATTAAGGAAAAGACGGGACAAGTGGTGAAGCTCAGTGATAGAGCATGTGCTAAATATGCTTGAGGCACAGGGCTCGGTCTACAGCAAAAGAAAGGAGAAAAGATACATTTAAAAAAAAATTTAAAACATTGGATTAGAAGGGCCAGGCATGGTGCATACCATTAATCCCAGCACTTGGGAGACAGAGGCAGGTAGTAAATTCCAGGCCAGCCAGAGCTACACAGTGAGACCCTGTCAAAAAATTAATTACTTAATAAAAACAATAAGCAGAGGACCTAACAGGTAGTACCCAAGTGACAGTCAGGCATGGTACATACCTGTAATCTCAGCATTCAGGCAGAGGAGATAAAATCTTGAGTTCAAGATCTAGACTCCAGCTGGGAATGGCGTCTTTGATCCCAGAACTCTGAATTTGAAGATAGCCTGGTCTACATGGGAAGTTCAAGCCATCCAGGAGTATATAATGAGACCCTATATTAAAAAAAAAAAAAAATTCTGAACTGTATATTGAAACTAAATAGAAACAAAAAGGCTGAGCATCCAGCCCTTGTTTAGTAGGTATGAAGCCCTGAATTTGATTCCCTGCACCACCTAAGTGGGTAGGGAAGGAAGAGGGCTGACAGCTCAGCTCAGTGGCAGTTTTTCTAGACATGTGCAAGATCCTGGGTTTGATCCCTTATCAAAGAGGAGAGGACCCAGGTAGCTCAGACTCACTCATTGCAGTAAAAGCACATTTTTTTTTTAATGAAATAAGTAAAACACTCAAAGTGATTACTAGTGCTGAACTGAACTGGTAAGAGAACAGTCTGTTTTCCACAGTTATAAACATTCTTTGACTTAGAATTCATCATTTAAAAATTTGCCTTAAAGATGAGACTGGAGAAGGCTCTCGAGAAGTCGCAGAGGATCTGAGTTTGGTTCCCAGCACCCATGGTGTCTCACAGCTGTCTGTAACTCCAGTTCCAGTAGATGCCTTCCTCCAACAGCACCAGGCACACATATGGTGCACAGTCATACAGGCAGGCAAAACACTCATGCATAAAATAAAATTTAAAAACCATTTGAGATAAATAATAAAAATTTACATTAAGGAAATTAAAATGTGTATAAATATTCAGCTAGAGAAATGTTCCAATGCCACCAAAAAGTAGAAGTGCCTCAAATATCTACCAGAAGAAAATTGACTAAGAAAACATGTGGTTTGTTCATATATTCAAACATTGTTTGAAGCCATTTAAAACAGCTGAAGCTGGGCATGATGGCGTACATTTTTAATCCCAGCACTCAGAAGGCAGAGGCAGGCGGATCTGTGAGTTTGAGGCCAGCCTGGTCTACAAACAGTTCTAGGACAGTCAGTGCTGTTACACAGGGAAAGGTATTTTCTGAATAAAAGATGTTCAAATTAAATAAAGAGAAATTTTGAAATAGTATGTACTTCTCTGCACTAAATATGTGGAATATGAGTTGTAAGCATAATTGTTAAAGATGATTGAGTAGTGTGATACTCATGTTTTTCTTTAACAGAAATCACCTTCTTAGAAAGAAGATAGTGTTTTTCTCTTGGTTCCTCCAGGTTCTTTGCTATTCCTCTATAATTCATTATTTCTCATCTTTTTTAGGTAGTGAAAATGAAGAGTAATTTGGAACGGTTCCAAGTTACAAAGCTCTGCCCATTCCAAGAAAAGATTCGGAGGCAGTATTTAAGCACAAATGTAAGTCCCAATTTTCTGCCTCTTTGTATTTAATGATGAAGTTAACTTTGCTTTCATATAAATGACTACATTGTTCTTTTCTTTGCTTGGTATACTTTTTAATTTTAAAATGTGCCATGCATTCAAAAGAATATATAATATTTACTAGCCTGGACTGCATAGTGAAAGACCCTGTCTCAAAAAAAAAAAAAAAAAAATACTTGCCAGTTAGTGAAAATATTCTGAGTGCCCTATCCAGTTGTATGTACATCAGTGCCTCCTACCAGCATTTATAAGAATCATCCCAATGTTTTTCTTTCTTTTTGTTTTATTTTATATAGTGTGTTGAGGCAGGACAGAGGTGTATATATGCCACCCTCAGAAAACAACTTGCAGAGTCAAGTCTCACTAGACTAAGTGGGATGTGGGGATCAAACTCAGATTGATCCAACTGCCTTTACCCACCAAGCCCTCCTTATTGTTCTTGATAGATTTATTAAGTGTATAGTCCTAAAAATCTGTTACTAATTTGGAAAAACTGAGTAGCATTCACAAACCTGCCAGTGAAGGACAGGCAAATTGTTGATGGCAGGAAGCTGAGCGGTCACTGAATGGTGCTTTACAGCAGTGAAGGCCAGTAATTGGGCAGGTTGTTTTGCACAAGGTCTCTAGCATTGTTTCCAAGCAAAGGTAGAGCAAATGTAGAAGAGGTTCTTTCAAGAGATACTGACTTAGTGAGAAATGTTATATGTAGATGTAACAGCCAGCATTTCAGTAACTGGGATGATCAGAAATGGGGTTTTGAAAAATCTTCATCACTTACTATTTTTCCCAGTAAGCCTTGAATGTCTCTCTCAATAGGCCAAGAACACTAAGCAGGTTCTCTGCCTTGTTTCACCTCAGTTGATTCTGTTTGCAGTACCATGTTGAGGATTCTTAGGCCATGTGTAGCCATATAGTAGGATATGGAGTGCATCTCACTGATAACTGTAAAGCCACTGCTACCTGTCAAGCAGAAAGAGAAATTATTACGTTTTCCAGACAGAGATAATGATACACCCTCTTCCCCTCTAAAACAGGGCTAGAGATTAGGGGCTTGCTGAAGATGGAATCTGTACTTTAAACATCCTAGGCAAGCTCTCTGCTCTGCCTTGCACTTTGAACTGGGGTTGGGACATACTTAAATCTTGATTTTAGATCAGTCACTGACTGCTAAAAGGACTGAGAGCCTCAAAACTACCCCTCCTCCTAGAATGATAAACTTAACCATGTGAACACTCACACCTTTACAGAAACACATTACAAGGCTTTCTAACTTCAAGAGTTAGTGTGATCTTTGACTTGACTTGTTAGACCCGTGGAGACAGAGTTCTTTAAAGGGGTATAAAGATGAGTGTTGAGTCGGTATGATGGTGCCTGCCTGTGATCCCGCACTTAGACAGGCCAGCCTGAGCTTCCCACAGTGAGACCATGTCTCAAGAGAAAAAGTGTTGCTACTGTCATCCTGGCCTTCTTTCTTTAGCTGACCAGTCTGTTAATCTAGAGACCAACTTGGTTTGGCTCTCATTGAACAAAAGAAGCAAGCCTAGAGTGCAGTGAGAGCTTCCACATCCTGGTGATGGTTAATGGCCAGGCAGTATCGTGACCCAGACAGAGCAGGTGACTGTCCAGACCCTGCACTGCACCCCATCACCTGTCTTCTGCATACACAGTATGTGGTTGCACCTTTGCTGAGGGCTTGTGCAGTACCTTGTTGACTGAGAGATATACTGGAAAGTGTGTGCCAGGTTTGGATGTGAAGCATCAGCGTCTCTGACTGCTCACTTCAGTGTCTCCCTCTGACTTTCAGCTGGTAAGTCACATAGAAGAGATGCTGCAGACAGCCTACAACAAGCTCCACTCATGGCAATCACGGCGTCTGATGAAGAAGACGTGAAGCATTTCATTCATGGTGCTCACAGGTTTTGTGGGTTGAAAAAAACTGACCTGCAGTGACTCTGGAAACCTGGCTGAGGACAAGCAGATGCTCACACCGGGGAAACATCTGCTGCATGCCAACTCCCAGAGCTGATGCTATTGTACTTGCACATAAGAACCGAAAGAAGGCAGGGACGAGATTCATTTAACTCTGGGGAGGTAAACTAAGGCAGAACCAAAATGAGCTAAGTTGCAAATATATGTGTATGTGTACATGTATATGTATTTTAAAGACTGTTTACTGCAGTTACTCAGGAACTGCTTTTGGTTCACGTTAAGCTGCTTTCAAAATTAAAAGAAAAAATAATTTAAAAAAATACTTAAAGGGTGCATTGATAAAATCTGAGAGTTTTTTCATTTTTGTTTTCTGGGTAAATTTTTTCCCTAAGTTTATGGCACAGGGTAACCCTAAGTATCCCTCCTCATCCCCCACCAGGATCCTCAAATGTTACTGAATTCTAGTTGTCCCTTACATCAGCACGTTAAAGAGAGTACTTTGAATAAGGGAGGCTGTTGTGCAGCCATGAGGAAACAGTCCAGAGGGCACCATTGGTCCTGCGTTTCCTACGGAAATAAGTGTTGCACTGAAGCCTGTGCTCTGGAGTCCCCAAGTAAAAGGCACACCTGCAGGAGTCAGTGAGCTAGTGCAGGGTGTTGTCAGGCGACAATGATGCTGCATGTGTTTCTTGGGTGCAAATGTATATTGCTGAAAATTTTTTAAAGATGGCATGTGCTTTGAAAAGAAGAAATTGCATTTTTAAGAGTTTAAAAATCTTACAAGTGAGAAATATAAGAATTGCTTATTTTCACCTGTTTAGAAGAAATAAAGGAAGTTTCTCATACCTGCTCTTCTTGGTGTCTTGACTGCTGCTGCTTGACGAGTTGGTAATTACTGCAGAGTCACAGTAAAAAACAATGATATCATGAAAATTGCAGGCAAATGGATGGAACTAGAAAATATCATCCTGAGTGAGGTAACCCAAACCCAGAAGGACAAACATGGTATGTACTCACTCATAAGTAGATTCTAGATATAAAGCAAAGAACAATCAGACTGCAACCCACAGAACCAGGGAGGATACATAGCAGGGGGGACCCTAGGATGATTGTGACTTATAATAAGTTTTGGGTTTACTCAGTTACTGGGCAAGCCTCAATGAAACATTTCACTATTAGGATAAGAATTTATACTGTATCAAGCTGATAATAGAGAAATAAATAAATAAATTTTAAGAAAATGAAAAGAGCCGGGCGGTGGTGGCGCACGCCTTTAATCCCAGCACTCGGGAGGCAGAGCCAGGCGGATCTCTGTGAGTTCGAGGCCAGCCTGGACTACCAAGTGAGTTCCAGGAAAGGCGCAAAGCTACACAGAGAAACCCTGTCTCGAAAAACCAAAAAAAAAAAAAAAAAAAAAAAAGAAAATGAAAAGAAAAAAAAAAAGAAATCCAGGCCCCATGTGTTAGGCATGGCAGAGCAGGAAGAAGAGGTTTGAATATGAAGTTGTTTGTGTGGGTTGGTCGTGCTTTAGATAAAAGGCCTGACAGACAGGGAAGCCAGAATCTATCACGCTTTGGAGTGATTGGAACTGGAAAGATGACAAAGGTGGAGTTCAGGAGCTGGGCGTGTAGCTTAGTTGTATAGCACCCTGCTGACATACCAGAGACCCTAGATTCAACCCCAAGTACCATCCCAGGCATGGTGGTGTGCCCTGTAATGTGAGCACCTGAGAGAGTGGAGGCAAGAGAATCAGAAGTTCAAGGTCTTCCTTAGCTACATTGCAAGTCCAGGGGCTGGCTACTCAACCCTGTCTTCAAAAAAATACACATTTGTAACCATGTCTCAGGAGTTCAAGGGAAGTAGTTCTATTTTGTGTTTATCATGGTAGTTCCCACCTTTTTTTTTCTTTCTTTTTTTTTTTTTTTTTTTTTATGTATACAGTATTCTGTCTGCATGTATCTCTGCAGGCCAGAAGAGGGCACCAGATCTCATTATAGATGGTTGTGAGCCACCATGTGGTTGCTGGAAATGGAACTCAGTACCACTGGAAGAACAGCCAGTGCTCTTAACCGCTGAGCCATCTCTCCAGCCCTTGTGTCTATCTTATACATGAAATAGTTTGACTTTGGGATCCTTTTAAAGTAAACTGGAGATAAGCTCCAGCAGTTGGAGCACATAATGCTCTTCCAGAGGACCTGAGTTCAATTCCCAGCACTGGTATCAGGCAACTCACAGCACCTATCAGTCTAGCTCCAGGGGTATCCGATACCTTTGACCTCTGTGGGCACCTGCACTCATGTGCATACACATGACTAAAAATAATAATTGTTTAGCCAGATGTGGTTGCACATGTCTTTAATCCCAACACTGGGGAGACAGATCTCTGTGAGTTTGAGGTCATCCTGGTCTATATAGTGAGTTCCAGGACAACCAGGGCTACATAGACCCTATCTCAATAATCATAAAATTTTTTTAATGTGAACTTTAGGAACTGGAGGGATGGTTCAACAGTTAAGGGCATTTGTTGCTCTTGTAGAAAGGACCTAGGTTCAGTTCCCAGCACCCACATGGCAGTTCATTGGTAACTCCAGTTCCTGGGGATCCAGCTCCCTCTTCTGATCTCTTTGAGTACTGCATGTAGTGCACGTATACATGCGGGCAACACACACTAATAAAAAAATTTTTTTAGTTGCAATTTAAGAAAAAAAAAATGACCAGCCTAATCTTCAGAGCGAGTTCCAGGACAGCGAGCACTACACAGAGAAACCCTGTCTCAAAAAAAAAAAAAAAAAAAAAATGACCCTTAACCACTGCAAAGCCTGGTATCACACCCCCCAAAAATTCTGGACAGTAATGGCAGCTAGTGACAGGGCTGGCCCGGTTCAGAGCAGTTAACTGCCCTATCTCACTTCTTTTCAAAGCAACTAGTGAAGCAAAGGATACTAAAGATTATTCTACAGATCAGAAGTGATTTGGAGTTTAGAGGGCTAGAGAGATGGCTCAGTGGTTAAGAACGCTGCTGCTCTGGCAGAGGACTCAAGTTCAATTCCCAGAAGCCACATGGCAGCTCAAACTATTCATTACTCCAATTTCAAGGGATCTCTTAGGCACCAGCAAGCACACTCATAGGCAATACACTCATAATATAGAAACATACATACACATATACATGTGTAAGAAATATATAAAAAGAGAGGAAAATATAAATACACATAATATAAGAATACTTTTAACTAAAACTAAGTAACTGACTTTAAGTGATGGTTGGGATTTACCCTGAACTGCAAAGCCTCCTCCAGTCACTTAGGAATGAAGTGTCTATGATAGAGCAGTAATTCCCAAGCCCAGGCTGTCGTGCCCTGGCTTTTAATTTAACTGTCCTGCTGTATCCTTGCCTCTGGTTCCATTTTCTGCAAAGTACATTCCAGGGTCACCTGGTAGTAGAGCCCATGAGCTGCAAGTTGCAATAGTTTGGAAAACATGTCTTGCCTTCTGCAAAGAAGCTGATAGAGTTAACTAAGGTTAGTAGGGCTAGTTTGCTTTGAAGTCATACTATGTGACCTTGTGATAGTTCCTTTGGTCTGAAACAAGACAATATTGGAAGCTCAAAAAGTAATGGGTTGCTGGTTACCCGGGAGGTACCTTCCTGTGCTGCATACACCAGAGCAAGATGGAAAGCTGCCTGTTTTAAACTTAGATCTCTGTCTCCAGTGTCAGGCTTGCCTGGGATTCCTCAGGGTTACCTCTGCCCTTTCCCAGTTTAGCTTGTTCAAGACTCAGCTGTTGGAGTTCTAGAGGCCAGGGCAGTCTTAGTTATTTTCAGCCCTTAAACTGCCCAGAGCTGGGACATTGCCTTAACCTGATTAAGGAGTGATTAGCCTTGTGTATAATCCACCTCCCTGTTTGGATGTGTATTAAAGTCACAGAAGAGACTGGGAACCTTGCCATCTAGTGGTTCTCAAACTTCATAGTCACAGAACTTTTAGTACAGTCTTTCACCTAATACACACAACAGACTGTAGGTTAAGATCCAGTCCCTTGCCAGGCAAGATGGCACACCTGTAATTCTAGCACTAGGGAGGCAGAGGCAGAAAGAAGGACCACTGCAAGTTTCAGGCCAGCCTAATCTCTGTCATGAGTTCTGGGCTATCCAGGGCTATGTGGCAATACCTTGTCTTTAAAACTAGGGGATCCTCCCACCTCTCATGCAGCACAGTGTGAATTACCTCTCTGGCCACTTGGCCACTACTCCTTGGGGGTGGGTGAAGTTGAAAGCACAGATAAATTCTGTGTTATTACTACCCGGTTGTCACAGAAATCAATGGCAGACTTGCAAACTTCACTTCTAGTACACCAATTACAGTAATCAGAAGCAAGTCGAACAAGGCTCACCTACATGCTGGTGATAGTCTAGAAATATTTAATTTCTACGGATTTGCCTTCTTGTCAGCTATCAGTTCAGCTTGTCAGTAGATGTCAAAGGCCTTCATAATCTAAAATGTATTCCTCTCTAGTAACTGAGTAAGGAACAGCTATGAAATACTCAGCACTGAGGAGGCAGACAGGCAGGCAGATCTCCCAACGTGGTCTACTGAGTGAGTTCCAGGATAGCCAGGGCTACATAGAGAAACCCTGTCTCAAAAAAAAAAAAAAAAAAAAAATCTTTAAAAGCAGTAGGTGTGGTAGTACATGCCTGCAATCCTATCAAGAGGATCAGGAGGGTCAGGAGTTCGTTGCCATCCTCTGTGTGTTTTTATGTCAACTTGACACAAGCCAGATTCACTTTGGAAAAGGGAACCTCAAGTGAGAAAATGCCCCTACTATATTGGCCTGTGAGCAACATGTGTTGAATTTTCTTTATTGATGGTGGAGGGCTCAACTCACTGT